AGGGTACACGTACCTCATAGGTCGCACACGCGTACCTCATGTGTAGGATACACGTACCTCACAGGTCGCACACACGTACCTCATGTGCAGGATACACGTACCTCACAGGTCGGACACACGTACCTCATGTGCAGGATACACGTACCTCATGTGCAGGATACAAGTTCCTCATGTGCAGGATACACGTACCTCATGTGCAGGATACACGTACCTCACAGGTCGCACACACGTACCTCTTGTGCAAGATACACGTACCTCACAGGTCGCACAGACGTTCCTCATGTGCAGGATACACGTACCTCATGTGCAGGATACAAGTTTCTCATGTGCAGGATACACGTACCTCCTGTGCAGGATACACGTACCTCACAGGTCGCACACACGTACCTCTGGTGCTGGATACACGTACCTCACAGGTCGGACACACGTACCTCATGTGCAGGATACACGTACCTCACAGGTCGCACACACGTACCTCATGTGCAGGATACACGTACCTCACAGGTCGCACACACGTAGCTCATGTGCAGGATACACGTACCTCATAGGTCGGACACCCGTACATCATGTGCAGGATAAGGGATTCGTTTTTTGCATTCTGAATAAATGGACATGTGTAGACTTCGACCACATGGACCAGAACAGGATATTACGTGCTATTATATTCTCGCTTTGAAACCTAAACGTAAGCAGCTTTAAGGAATGTGTTACGTGATTAAAACTGACAAGGGAACAGTGATGACATAACAGATACTAATAAATGCCGTTTTGATGTACGCCTCCGCACCACTCGACAAGGCCACGTTGTCGAATGACGAAGATGGCACTTAATGCTCATGGCAAAGTATAGTGATGGTACTTATCACTCGTATAATAAGTGTGTCAAGACGAGCAGGTCCGGGTTTTCGAGGACAAAACATAACTGACTATTTCTTCATCCGAAACAATTCTTTAGAAGTCATTACTGTAACAGTTGTATTCTGCACAGGTTTCTATTATCGTAAATCTTCTGAATGTGAAGTAAAAGAAGAATAGCTTAGGTGCAAAGTTTAAGAAAATGTGTAACAGTATCTAAACACGCCACATTGCCAAAAAAGGAGAAGGGGTATTACAAGGAGTATTTTCTAGCTAGCTGTCTTTTTCCTGTTCCTTACACGATTCTTTACTCTTGAAACAAAAAATAGTCGTTACTGAAAAAAAAAATTGCATTGAGGTAATGTGGACTATCTTGTACGATGAGGCTACTTTGTCACGACTGTCGAGTGCCCTTTAAGCGCTCCACTCGGAAATGAAAGCGAATTGTCCGCTAAAAGCAAGAATCCTTTGTACGATTTCAACTATGTCATAAGCACGTGTTTATGTGTGTGTTCAAATAGTGTCTCTACCAGGTGTTCGCGAAAAGGTGAGGGTATCCTGGGAATTGCATCGGACATCACTGGTGCGTCAGTTTGAAATATCCTTCACATGTCTGATTTTTGACGTTTTGAAACGCTTGACTAAGCCCTTGAATGATGTAACACCGATCAAACAACCTTTGAGCAAGAGTTGTATGACGTTGTTTGAAATCTTTTAAGAGAGCACGCACGATTCTACCTCAAAGATGTGAAATATAGACAAAAGACTCTATCTGCTGGAATATTGCTCAAGGCAAAAAGAAAATGTTTCACCTATCTTGTCATACAGTCGTGTGGTGAGGTTTTTGTCACTCCGAATCCTCATGAAACAGATGTGGTGGATTCACTGGTATCTTTTTTTTTTTCTAGTTTGCGTACTTTGGAATCCAGTACAAAAGAGAAATGTTTTAGAAAGAATCCAAAAAATCGACTAATGCGTGGTTCATGGTGTGGTTCTTCCTCTGTTATCATTATATGGCCTTAATTGTGGCTGCGGAAATATCACTTACACAAGTTCTTCGAGCAAAAAAACAACTAATGTAGTGATGCTTATATGCAATGGTCATGCTTCATGCGCAACAGGTTGATCTTCTCCTTTGGCCCATTTTCATACACTTTGGCAGCATCCATAATGATTTTAAGGTCGTTATCACTATTGTTCACAATATTTTTGGCTACATTCGACTAACCGTCGACGGTGGCTATTGCCAACAATAGAGAAGTCTCCTGTGTTGTGATTATATGACCAGCAGTTTGGTTGCAGGGTGGTGAGACCCCGCAACCACAAGAGGTGGCTTTACGTGAAGAGCTGTTGGATGATATTGTGTTCGTTAGGGGTGGTTCCTGAAATTTGAATCCTGATGTTTGTCTAAAATGTTACTTGAGTTCAAATTATCGTGTTTGCAAATTCAGGAACATGCGTTTTTTCTTTGTTAGTGGATTCTTTTTTCTGGTTTTCCCATCGTATCAAAGCAATAACAAGAACCATACCATCTAGTCGATACTGTGCAAAAGTTCGTAAACTTCGTTGAAGTTCGTTGATTTCCTTCAACGACACTGACAATTCTTGATCCTACTTTGTCCTGTTCCATTGGCTCCAGTGGGAAGGGCAACAAATCGTCCAAATCAATGGCATTATTTGGCCTTTGTTCTTTCTTGTGACGAAAGCGGTGGTATCGTTTTGGGATGCGAGAAACATTTTTGGATGCGAGCTAATACATTGATGTTAGCAGTTCGTTGAGACAACATCTATTTTTCTTAGATCCATATAGAATTGCTGTACACATAAGTCGACTCCAATTATTAATTCGAGACATCCTATAAGGTCGACTGCATTTAAAGCTATTTAATGGATGGTATATTTTTTTTCAGTATCCTAACGATTGCAAAGGATTAAATGATGATACATATTTCTGATGATGCCTGATGTATGCTGCCAGACTCGTGTCCATTCTTTCTGTTGTGTCTCTTCAACATAAAATAATCAATAGAGTACATTCAACGCAATAGATGACGTTTTCAGTTTGCTTGATGACAGGTTTTGTGCAGTATGTTGTAGCTGAAATGTTAGATTTGAATTCGGGATCCGTTATCCAAATAGGATTTGCAATAGTCCATGAAGATGTGTTGAAAGTAAATGTCCTCCAACTTTGCTGAACTTGTTAGTTAATAATACAGCAGTCCCGTCTGCGGCATAGCAGGTCGCACAGTAAGAACTAGGTGCTCTTTCGTCTGTTCAACGTTTTTAGTAAATAGTTACATGTCTTAGGGTCAAAATGATCACTAGCAGACAAATCGACTTGATTCATGAAAATATAACTAACTCCCCATGACACTGAATTTAAGCTGGTCAAAACCTTTGATTAGTGTAAACTTCTCTCGCAAAATAACAGTGCTTTTCAAAAACAAGTTTTGCATGGTGTTGTGCTCCGTGACGAAATACTGAATGGAGGCGGGTTCGAAAGAAAATGTCCTCTAAACATTTCTGAACATTTCTCGTGATGATACTAAATGTAATCTATGCTCCTGAAATAATAGATACCCTGATGTTGAACGTACACGTAAGTAAATGCATGATATCCCAAAGGACCACCCTAGGACTGCAATCCAAATCATATTCTATCAACAGAAGGGTGAAAACAAGGGTAACATGTCAGGAACGGGTTACTGGACTCAAGTCTGACTACCCATATCTGTTCATGTTAGGCTTGTTACATTGAAATTGATTGAATTAAATTGGTTTCACTTGATTAATTTAAATATTGCCACGTAAGAATAATTTCCTTACGGACAGTAAGCATTAGCTTAGTTTATCGTATATGCTCATACGCTTTATAAAGCAAACCCTTTAACTTTATGCATGTGGATTAAAATCTTCATCCGTTGCCTTCCACAACCAACAGCTTAAGTAGGTTCTCTATTAATGTAAGCGTGTTTCTGAAATATAGTGACTTTAACAGGCTATACGTTTTTAACTTCGGCCATCAAACTCTCTTTGCAATGTTAATGGGAACATCTCATGAGGGGATATGAAGCAGTTTGCAAAACTTAGTCGTTATAGTTTCTATAAATCAAGGAACCATTATCTACACTGCTTCCATTGGAGAGCTATGTACATAGGTTCAGGTGATGTTTAAATGCTATTCCCATGCCAGTGTATGTATTGGTCTTTGATCGTTTGCGAATAGTTGAAACGTATTCTTCCTAATGGGACGATATGGAGTTCCTACATTGCCCCAATAGACTCAAACGGAAATCAAACATACAGACATAGTTGATGATATTAGGGGATGTCCATGTATATTAGACAACATCAATGGAGAAAGTAATAGAAATATGAGAATGAAAATATGCATTAGTCCCATCATGCAATGGTTGTTCTTTCAGGAGAGAGCATCACTGGCACGCCCAGCACCCATACTGACACACAATTAACGCATTAGCGTAATATACATATAATTTCACATTACTGACAAAAGTTGCCAGTTAGCATCATTTAATGAAATTTGGATCCATTTCGGTAAATATGTCGATCGGATGCTGAAATCTCATGAACAACATTTACTGTTGGCCTCCACTACCCTTCTCGCAAGTTACGAGCGATGTTCATAAAGAGCTTGTTATTGACTATATGCGATATCGATTAATATATTGTTAGGGGGTGATGGTAGTAAGAAATTGTGTTTTCTTTCGAGACATATTATTCGTCAATCCTATAACACTGGCAACCCACCCTCCTTTCTCAATACATTTAAATCCCTTGCTTAATCCGACAATTCCATTGCAAAGGTGGAGGAAGGATTATTGGCCTTTTACTTAGTCTACATAAAATGTTTGACCCCTAAGGGTTTAAGAGCATCAGAGAGTATTATGTCATTAATGAGACGCTAAGATGCATCCTTTGACGTGTATTCACATTCTTTGATGAAAATGACTAGATGGTGCACTTAAGTGAAGATGTGTTTCATATTGTGTGTGTATAAGTTCGTGTTTCTTCAGTGTATTTCTTATGTAATATGGAAAAATTGCAGACAACCATGACAACAATAACCAGTGAAAAAGAACCACCACTACATGTTTTTTTTATAATAATGTTTTACATTTCAGATTACAATATCGAAAATGGCCAACAGTGATTCCGCCGTGGCGGAAATCCGACTGATTTTATCGCTTCAAACAACGTCATATCCGACTGGCCTCGGTTTAAACTATACTGATGTCATGAACGATAACTCGACCAATGTTACATCGAACGCTAGTCAGCACATAAACCAAAGTTTGGCAAAAGCGGAAGTCACGGTACAGGCCGTTATTCTAGCACTTGCTGTGTTTGGAAATACCTGTGTCTTGATCGCCTTGGCCAGAAGACGTAAAATCAACAGTAGAATGCATATGTTTATTATGCACTTGAGCATAGCCGATCTGTTGGTAGCTTTCTTTAATATTTTACCACAACTTATATGGGATGTGGCGCAGAAATTCCAGGGAGGAGATGTTTTGTGTCGCTTTGTGAAGTTCATGCAAGTGTTTGTGATGTACCTGTCGACGTACGTGCTGGTGATGACAGCAATTGACCGATACAGGGCTATTTGTCACCCCTTGTCAAACCACAACTGGACAACCAAAACTGTCAATCTCATGATAGCAGGAGCTTATTGCATTGCGGGTGTTTTCAGCATACCCCAGGCCCTGCTGTTCAAGTACCAGGAACGTGTCGTTGGTACTGGGGAATATGATTGTTGGGTCCATTGGGATCCCCCCTGGATCCTTCAGTTGTACATTACATCATTCACATTCCTAGTGTATGTCATTCCGTTTTTAATACTTGTTTTTGCGTACGGGTCAATATGCTACACAATTTGGTCGAAATATAGAGTCACACGTGAACCCCTGGTGAAAAGGGAGGTAACAAATGGTGCTGTTGGTCACGTGATGTACACTTTATCCAATCAGAGTCCAGGAAGGACATTTGGAATTAGGGATGGCGGGATGCACCCAAGATCACATTCCAGTAGAGGTTTCTCCAGAGCCAAGCTGAAGACAGTGAAGCTGACATTTGTAGTGATCCTTGCGTACCTCGTCTGCTGGTCGCCATTCTTCATCTCCCAGCTATGGTGGCTGTACGATGAGTCAGCTCCGATGTCAAGTGAGTACATTTCGTCCTTGGTATGAATAGCATAATTAATAAATATCAAGTGTCTGTACATTTCGACGAAAACTGTTATTTTCAAGGATTTATCTGCACGTTTTTCACAACTGATGACGTCATTGGTGTTTTATGACTTCACTACACCGTTCAGTGACGTGATTGTGTCCGCAGAAACGATATGCGTTACATTCACTCCTGAGAGATTGAGAGGATAACATACAATCCACGAGAAATTACGAATTGTCTCTGCCGACTTAGCTTTGTTGAGGAACTGAATGTTACTTCAATGGGGACAGATAATCTGCAATTCCCCGTGTCTCGTAAGGTGTTCTTTATATTATCCATAGTCATTTTCACCCTAGAGAATTTTGAAAAATGTAGGTCCCACTATCCAAGTGGAGACGACAGCAGTGTTGGATCGACGTCACAAAACATCAATGAAAACAACAGAACAATTGGAACGAACAATCATCATATATCGCTCAGTGATTACTAAAAATAATTTCACATATATCAATGCCATCATGGTCCTATTTCACGGATACATTTGGCTAACTCACTCACAAGTATACTAAATATCAGCATAGCATGAACCCACAGACTCATTACCTCCTGGTGCATATAAAAGTAAAATAATTTCTTGATGCCAATCAGTATCCCGAAAGACGCTTACTGTTGAACTTAGAATTTGCATTGTTTCAGCCATATAGACCGAGTTGATAGGTCTCCGTCAGCGATATCATTGGTAAATGACACGGGATGCTAATTATGGAGACAGGCCAGTTGTTTCATAGCGTGTCAAACGTTCCACGCCGTCGGGGTGTGCTGACAACACCCGACCCGGTGAAACTGACGTTACCAGTGGAGACATAATGCATGTTCATACCTTTGTAGGGGGCACGGGTGGCCCAATCGTCTAAGGCGCCGCGATTCGCTGTGCAGAGTTGTGTCCCTTGGACGCGCCAGAAACCTATGATTCTGGGTTCGAATCCCGATTATGTTTCTAGGTTTGTCAGCACCATACCCGTGCTCGTGGGTTTCACCGTAGCGGTAGGCGTCTGAGACCTGCATCACTTCGGGCTTACCTCCCACATTAAGCTGACACGCCGTGATATAACTGGAATACTGTTAAAAACGGCGTTAAACCTAACTCACTCACTCACTCATTCCTTTGTAAAGTGACACATGTAACACCCTCAGATGTCTACCATGCAGAGTTCACATAGTCCTTCTATGACAATAAAGTAATGAAATTAAGCGAAAAAGAGCTCATCAATTCCCCTAGGAACTTCGTGTAAAACATGCTACCTCAACAAAGAAAAAACAGGGTTTCGCTTCCGCCATCGTACTTGGAACATACCTATACTAGACTGTAAAGGTGCGTTTTCCTTTGGAATCCTATGGAGTTAACGAAGCTTGCTTTCATAACCCGCTGTGTTGTGAGAAAGAAAATATAAAACGTCAATGCCAGAGAATATTTAGTTTTTATTACTAGTATCCGCCGAAATAAATTCTCCTGGGCGTAAAAGGCAAAACAGCGGTGCAAATAATGTAAATGGACCACTGAAAATCAGTGTGTTCGCGAAAAGGGGTAAGTGTGTACTGCCCTACTGGTAGCACCCGCCACTCACACGATGTTCTTAAACAAGTAAGTGTGTGTTGACTGACGCCGCTCAGCAGAAGTCCTGACTTACAAATGCTGGGACAAACGATATATTTTTAGACATGAAAGGAAGAATGACGACTTGAAAATTGTAGTCATCACTTTTGACATCAATCAGTGTGAGTGATGTCCACTACCTTTAATTACAACCACAGTTTCTGGTATCGGTCAAGATATGAAGGCGATGTGAAGCTAGATTCAGTTGCCACTTTGATGTCCAAGCCTGGTAGATAATAATGGCTATGTTTTCCACTACTTCATTCAGTCACAATGTATAGTTAGGTGGCTCAGGCAAGACAAGTTGATGACACAGAATTTCACGAGAAGGAACATGTATATTAGTTATATAAGTGTAGGTTACATACATATACGTCAATTAATAAGGAAGAAGACCAGGGTACAAATGTACATAGACTATAGTTGCCATGCTTATTTGGGTCTTCATTCATTGCATATATTGTTACACAGTCGCGGGAACTGATCATATTGAAAAGAGAAAGAAGAATTAACCAGACGGTGCATCTGCCAAATTTAGAACTGACAATTTCAGAGAATGTATAAATGTCTTTACCGTTATCATTCTGACTCCTCCGTCATTTTAAAAATAAATATTGTTCGTTTCTCATATCCCTTTGATCAATGTAAGTCTGTATAATGCTAAATTCATCAATGAATTCAATTGGAAGAGAATACATGTACTCATGTTGACAGAGCCAGGATTTTGACAACAGTAATGTTAATCAATGTTCATTTTCTTATCCCTTAATTCCTTTAAATTCTATGGATGATTTTAAATATTTTCTTGTGCTAATTATCCACTGATAATTTAAGTTAGGAATAAACTATATTCCCAATATTTCCAATACGTCCCTACTGTGGCACTCAATTTTGAGATGATGACCTAATATGACGTCATCAGGCCTGTCCATATTGCTTTAGTTTTACCAATATTATTCTTTAGATTTAGACATTTCATGAATAAACATTTCGGTTTCACTGGTACTCAAACTGTTCCATCTAAAAATATATCTGTGTCATATGTATATTGTCCAAGTTAATGCTCCACATTATTCTTTTTGACACCTATTATGGCATTATTGCATACGAAAGAAGGTGTCCATTTTGTACGACATGGGATGAAGCCTTTATGTGAGTGTGTACATCCATTTTCTCCTATTAGATCCAATCAGATTGTCATATTACATGTTTTGTTTTGAAACAGTATCAAAGCATCATCAAACTCTGAAAATAATGGAAGACAAAGTTTATTTTGTAATTATGTTCAAACGTGATATCATATGGAAGTCTTTAGTTTCCGCTTACACATCTTCCAAGAGTGTTAATACATGTTCAAGGAATAGTTGCTTTTCGTATATCAGAGTATTAAGTGTCTTATTCTATTCTGTTTGTTGTACATATTCATGTATATTTCATACAATGACTATAAGGGAGAAATAGGTTATCATTTTTCTGGAGTTTATCTTTAGTGTCTGTAGGTATACAGATAATGACACCTCTGCTGTATGTTAGTCTTAAAATGTTATTTCTAAATATTTCAGCAATCTAACTACATACCCATTTTGCAATCTGTCTCAACAAAAATTGAGCAATCAATACCTGGGTTCTTTCATAGACTCTCCATACAGCCTTTGTTATTTCACACTTTTTTTTTATGTGATAATGTTTCCTTTCACTAGTTGCTTCTCCAGGTGTAGCGTATAATGTCTTTGTTCAGTAAGAATGGTTCATCCATCGGTTATGAACTCAACTTTTCCAGTAATACGATGAATTAGTTAACTGGCATAGTGCATAATAAAATGACAAAATAGTGTCGTGATTTCTCGCTTTCCTCTAGATTCTGTTCTTATTTGTAATCCGCTCCTTTTGCTTTCTTTCGGATTTTAACTTTATGTTTAGATACTAAGTACGTTTGGCATTCTTGAGTATTCATTTATCTTCTTTCCACTAATTTCTGTTCCATTTATATTATCTTTTCCTTTAAATGTTTACAGTTTTCTGTTTTTGTTCCTAAAATATATTTATTTTTAAAAGAGTAAAGATTTGTTGAACTTCCAGTAGCCCCAACCTCTTTCTTTGCAAGTGCGTTTTAAAAAAATATATCTATTGCAAAGAGACTGGAGTTGTATTCTCCGAATAGAATCAATATTTATTTTGTAATACATCGTTCGAAAATTCAAGATCCGTGTTAAAGGAATATTGAATATATTCCGTAGCGCAACGCATTTCCCCCTGTGACAAAGTTATGCCAAGTTTCTAGTGCCTGTACATGACTGTGTTTGGCTTGTCCCCGTACTTATATAACCCCAAGGGCATCAGCACCGAACTTCATAGTCATATACTAATACTAATGATGCTGATTAGTACTGGGTGTGTGAGCTTCATGTACACATTAGAGGTAGAGGTGTCTTCACGTATATACATAATCAATGTCAAGATGAGGTGTTTATTGAACTGATCGATTCCGTGGAGTTTTACATGAACGACCGTACATGTGCAACTAAGACGAAGAAGGCTGGTAAACATTATCATCAAATCCCTCAATACAATGATGCTGTAAAGACTTCTCCACACAAAACTTAAGGGGTTGCATATGTGTGTATATTGTTAAAACGTGTAGTATTTTGATATTTGCTAACAATGATGGCATTGTTAATCGTGGACGTAAAGTTTAAAGAAAAACTTTATCGAAAAATGTTACTCGTGCACATATTGCTTTAAATGTGACGTGGATAAAACACTTCTCATCGATTATGCTAAAACGCATGATAGTAAAAACCGTTACTTCGACCCAATACACATATTTGATGAATGTGTGTATTTGCATAAAATCACCTATCATACTTATTGAACGCACACATGGTTCCATACTCTGAAATGATAAATAACGTTACGTCACATCTTTGCTTCTCTTGGAAATTGGAAATACCTTCCATCGAAGGTATGGATAACAATGCCACTAAGGCACACATGTCCTTTACACAATTTAACCACAGAAAATTACTTTGGCAAATCCAGCTAGCCTTTCTTTCAATTGGTGTCATGCTATTGTTCCCGCTCCAGTTCTTCTGAATCATGCAGTTTGTAATTACTGCAACGCGATTTTAGTGAATCCGCGATTGTTGTTTTGACACGGAAGGGTCCTTTACAGAACTTACTGCCCAGTTACAGGCGTTTCATGAAGGTCAGCAATATTACGCCCTGTATTTCTTGGCGCTTGCAAAAGAGATTGAATAGCACATGTTATTCTTCATACAAAATTGCATTGATTTTGATTGTATTGTCAAAAACAAATAATTTTATTACTAGAATGTAT